TAATGTAGCTGAACAAACTACAAAGAAATGAAAGATTAACAAAATTCAACATTTTAAGAATCTAGTTATATTCAAATTTTACATTTGAACCTCAGATCGTGTTTGGAATCTCCCTAAATAAAAATACAAAACTTCTCTGTATTTTCCATGTTACTGTTCGAAACTCTAACGTAAGAAATAGTTTTATGCTATAAATTTATTTTCCATAGAATATAGAGTCACCCTTCTCCCTCAAATGTAACTAGATTCGCCCCTTACGAAGCCCAAATGAAGGAAGTGCGTTGGCCTGTGGGGATTCGGCCTCACACGTGTGATTTCTGCACTCCGCTTCTACGAAAATGCGTCGCTCTGAAGGCAGCAGAATCGACATCGTCGCACGCATTGACAATTAAACAACAAGTAAGAGTTAGGTCGCCATCCCCTCCAGTAGAACAGTTGCGAGAGCGTTATGTTTAAGTTGGAAATAACACGGAGAGAACGATACATGCAATTTTTAAATTACATTAACTGAACCTCGTCTCCAAATTAAAGCCAAGAAAAAGTGCAAATTTGTCCACAAAAATATATACATGAAATGAGATAATACTATCAAATATTGAGACGGGAAAGGTTGCTAAGGGCATTAACTGATGTCACTGCAGTGCATCTGACCAGGAGGTCCTAAGTTCGACCTCCTGAGTACGGTGCGGCAGTGGCAGGATTCTCGACACTAACTACGTAACTGAATCGAGTTCTGTCGCTGTCTGGAGGAGAATTCTAGCCGCGGGTCACGAACCTCACGCGATATTTCCTTCCCATTCTTTGTCCTATCCTTTATCCATTGTCTATATACACTACCGCACATTCAGGGAGATCGCCAAACATGCTGCAAGCAAACACGCGCACTATACTTACGGGAGTCATGATCTTAGCCGTTGACGTTCCCGGAATCACTCATTCACTCACTTCCTAATATTGAAGAATAAATTGCATTCAATAAGAAATCTCTAGCTTCAAAATTGGAGATCTCGGACAAGTTAGAAAAAAATATTAACAGTAGCAGTTTTGTAAATTCCAGAGATTTTAATGAAATTCGCATCTTTGCCACTTTATTAGGTGAACTATACTCCATTGAAGCATTAACAAATTGGAGTCACTTTGAAAAAAATGTTGGCTTCATAGGTACTCACAAAATTGTAGAAATGAGATTCAAATTTCAGGGTGATATGAGCCAATGGTCGAGGAATATCAATTTTGATGAAAATTTAGTGAACAGTTTAGGAGGCGGTAGTGTTGTTCACAGTCAGACAGACAGACCTACGTTAAAATCACTTTATCAGTATGCATCACAACAACTCAGTTGCCACGCACTTTTATTCTAACTTCGCAATTGTCTAGAAAAGAAAATGATGGTTTTAGATTCAAAAATTTCACAAGGATGCACGCACTTCTAGTGTGACAAGTTCTAAGCCTTTATCAAAGAATATTGTAATAATTCAATATCAAAATTGATAGTAACAGTTATTGTATAGCGTTCTTGCATGCGTATTAAGTCGTTTAAATGTATTTAGTTTATCGAATTCTGATTTCACGATGTGGAATACGATGAGATAAACTTTGACCCTACATTGAATTGTTGACCTTGACTTTTCAACGCACTGACGACCAATGTTCCTACATCATCAACGTTTATGCTACATCTTTTATGTCTCTCCGTTCATGAAGACGTAGAGCCATGGACGCTGCACGAAGTCTGTGCCAAAACAATTCCGTCACTTCGTTGCAATCTACACTCAGACGTTGTACCAATATTTCGCCGCAGTTGCATCCGGTCTAAAATAATACTTTTACTTCAGAATGGCTTATCAAGAAACAGCAACTGACGAACAAAGCATAAATGAAGGTAATATTAATCTCGAGCAAACAGTCAGCGCTATTACTACATAGCATGTGAAATTACCAGCTTTCTGGAACAATAGTCTTGCTCTGTGGTTCGCACAAGCTAACCCTCAGTTCGTCCTTCAGAGAATTCATTCAGAGACAACAAAATTTTACCATTTTATTGCCAAAGTATAAGGTGTGCCCAAATGAAAAGGAGACTACAGTGATATGGAAAGAAACTTTAATGTTAACATGCGAATAACATTTCATTTCGAACAGTACACCTATAAATAACTACAGACGTAATTTCAACATACTCAGATTTTAAATAAGTATTGCAAGTTCGCGTTGCTCTGACATTAATTCAGATATAGGATTCCATTTTTTCCTGGCGTTTAAGGTTCACTGCATTATATATGTTATCTTTTGGCATTTGATTTTTGTTCCTTTTTTGATAATTTTTTCATGTCAAATAATTCCATCTCTTTCTCAAGTACTCTTCTTAATTGAAAACATGGAGTTTCCACTCTCGAACGTTAAAGCAATCGAAAGAATTATCGATCTTCTGCGCATGCGCAGTTCAAGTTTCGCATCACTTTTGTGTACCTGCGCAAGCGCAGAAGATGGAGATTGCAGTCAATTGCTACCCGCTAATGCGTGCAAAAACTCCCTAATAAAAGACATGTCCAACAATAAAGCTTAGCTTTAACTTCACTACCTGTAAGCCATTTACGTGAATAATACCACAAAGGATTGAATTTTCTTGCATTTTTTTCGCCAGCACGATGTACCATACTCAACGTAGGTCGACCATTATCCAAAATTTGTCTCTTTTCTACATCGTTATGATGAGACAACGTGTACGTGGTAGTTAATTAACTGTATCTGTCGTAAAATTAACGTAAAATCAGATCTAAACATCATATCTAAATATCAAGTAAGACTCATAATCTGCTGGGCAAAAGTTCAAATGAAAAAAATAAATACTTCCTAAATAATACATTATTGGCTTGTTATCTCGTAAATAAAACAGTAAACACGCGCAACGCGGCTTGCATGTGAGTGGAAATCGGAGTCTTCCATGAGAGCGCATGCGTCAAGTATGGACACATCATTTTACTGTTCTACTCTTACTACAGGTCCTCTTCTGAGAATAAGGTGCAAAGCGAGTCAGCACCCGGGTGTGCCTACCTTGGGTCGGTGCTTTGTCGAAATACAATTCAGACATTTCAAAGGCTTACAAATGCTTTCCGCAAATTTAATTTCTGTTTCAGCTATGCCGACCGTATTATGATTTTCTCAAAATCTTATGCAGATCATTTATGTTCGAGTAATGTGTTCTACATTACAATCATATGGAATACTTTTATATGCTGTTAATTATCATTTCAGTCAACAAAAAACCTTCCTCGAATATTCGATTTCTGAAAAAGAGGTATCTCCTTTAACTGAGAAAATCGACATCGCGACGATATTGTTGTAGGAAGACACTGAAAAAATTAAAAATTATTGCAGTTTTCGAAAATTGATAGATAGGCCTAATAATAAAATTCGAAAAGCCATATTTATAAGTGTATCCATTCTCTTCTAACAATAAAGTTTACTACACAATTTGTAGCCATTTTGACACAATTTTTTAATGTAAGAAATACATACTGTAACGTTTTTCCGTGGTGAATTGAAACTAACACAATATTTAAACAATTACGTTTATTCGGGAACAATTATACACTCCAAACTCTACTTGGTCTATTTACATGATCATATTACACTTAATTTCATTTTTCTTCTACCCACGATTCGTTCTTTGATGACATTTTATTTACACACCGTTCATCTCTCTTCTACACTATTTACATTTATCACTCGTTCTCTTCTACCAGTAATCCAAGCAGTCCGACTGCACATGTTCACCGGTCCATGCACTCTGACCAACATTCCCTGCACAGACCACCAATCCTGGCGCCAGCAGCCAATTCCTTGCGGCAGCCACCACACTCTCATGGCGCACCACCAGGGTCGCCTGCCATGCTCGTTTACGCGCGTGCCACCTTCACAGCCTCAGCTCTCACTGCAGACTATCAGACTTCTGACTGCTGTTCAACCGCTGCACCCATCTTCACCGCCGCAATGCGCATTTCAACCAGCCACAGCTTCACCTTCGACCCACACTGACCGGAACTGACTGCTTCTCTGCTACTCGCCATGACGTCTATAAACCCACTGACTTCTTACTCACGTCTTTCACCTAAACTGCCACTCGCGGCGCCGCCGGCAGCGGCGCATTTATACCTGCCCGGCCGCTTGTCTCGCAGGCACCCGGCCATACTTACTCCGGCGTTTCTTTCGCGGCTCGCGGATAGTCCGGACGCGTCCTAGTTCCGGGGGGCAGGGGGGGGGAAGGCAGATGACGCAATCCGCGCGCAACGAATTTCGGCATGTGATGCAATATTCGTTACAATACAAATAGACAATTAATACTTACTTATAATTAATAATTTCTTCCTTTCGGCGAGGGACACACTGATTTCACTTATGGTAGCTTCGCAAAATGTGCAGTTTGCTTCCTTACTCACATTTCATATATCTGCTTCCCTGGTACATAAAGATCCATGACATTCTTCCTGCAGACAAACTTAGCTTACTAAAAAACACACATTTGGATTACTGTTAATTTTAAAACTACGAAAAAGTATGTGCAGTTTGTAGCACCGATGGTTTTAGATATTTTAATTTGCTGGAAGAGCGTCGCCCCAATGTTTCCATTCGGGAGGAGGGGGTGTTCACGCTCCCCGGCCCCACACTCTCCCCCCCCCCTGTATGTTCTATTAAGGTGCGGTATTCGGCCCGAGCAACCGCTCGTCGAATGTCGAGTTGTGTGGACGGGTTGCTTGCGATTTCCCGAGCGCCGAACATTCTGTATTCGCCCTACCCACCGCGTGTCGGTCTTCAGGTCTCATCAAGGGGAGCGAACATTCGCCAAACACATCAATTGTCCAATCCCGATTGGACGAGCAGTAGTTCGCTACTCGGCGCATTCGACGAATGCCGAATGTGTGGAGTCGCCTTAATAAGCCGGTCTCCACGAGTCTCCTGGGCGACTGCGACGCTGCAACCCGCCGCGCGACCCGCCCAACGCAATGGCTTTTGCGCCCTTCCCGGCACGAGCGCCCGCGACGGCGGCGCGCGGGGGCGACGGCGGGAGCCGTCTGCGTGGTTCGACAGCCAGCGCGTCAGAAGGGACGGGGACATTTGCTCTGAGAAGTGGACGCGATCGTCAGATGGCGGTCTTGTTAGATGCCGGAGGCAACGAGTGGCTCAACAGAACGGCACGTACTTTCTCGTACTAATTAATTTTCTAATTTTTTGGGTCTAGTTTGGCTTCTTGGTATTGCCAAGTGCTCTTGCCAGCTGCTTTCTATCGCAGCCCAAAGTATATTTTTTAAATATTTTTATTCGATTCTTCGTTTTTATAATGGTAGATTCAAAGATTACTTGAATAATATTATGGAAGAATCGACCTATATACAAGTATCTGCATATAGACCAATATGCAAATTTTTGCTGAAAAATTTGGAATCGTTTAAAAGAAATCCCGATTAAGCGATTCTTTAAATGCGCAATTTCAAGTTTCCTTTCACAAAAACGTTTGAGTTTTCGAAAAACTTCATTGGAAGTCATTTGAATAACTTCGTACCTTTGAGCTCATTTTATCAGAAAACATTTGAGTTTTCGAGAAACTATTTTAGACATAATTTAAAGCACGTTTTAACAAATTCAATCATGTATATCAATCGCCGTTAATGTAAATATTAATGACACGAGAGAGATGTCAAATAATTATAATTGTATAATTTTTCAAAAAGAAAAACAATAGAGCGAAATGGCTTTTATGTCATTTTGTACAAAAAATTTGGTACTACATCTACGAAAAGTTTAAAGAAAAAAATTGGAGACATTTTTGAGAAATGTTTGTTTGTATTATTTTTGAATATTGAACACATTTTACTCAATACTGCGCGAAAACTACTAAAATTTTAAACAAAATGTACATGATCATAATGAGAGTACTAATTATAGGGAAAAATTTCATTTGAAGAAAAAATATCTTCAATTTTATAGTTGCAAGACGATGCCGAAATAAATTTAAAACTTTTTATGTTTTCGAAAATTCAGAGATAACTTCAATTCGGACCTGTGCCATCCTTATAAGCGTATTTCACTTTATTCTTATAAGAAATTACAAGAAAAAAATTGGACCCATTTTTGACAAAAATGTTGAAAATGTCTAAGGGGAAGAACCTCCAAAATTTAAAGAATGTTTAAAAATTGCAGCGCTTCAAGTAGGGCCAGAACATCAGGGAAATATTCATTTTAAAAAAAGCCTACGATTACTAGCCGATAGTTTTGTTCACAGATGGACAGGGACGGGCGTTTTGAAAGAAAAGGGCGGGGGTGGGGACTTTTTCGGTATCAGGAAACCCCAAAACGTGTATTTTCTTTGAAATCTTGAAATCGATATTCCGCAGCATTACAACACTTTCTCTGTTCTACGCATAATTATCTTTATATACGTACATACACGAGAAATTAAAAATGCAGGGCCTGGAAGATTTCTTACACAATTCTATACCCAGGGTGCGAATTGCAATTTCCTCCAAAGGGAGACTCAAAATTGTTAGATAGATAAATCGACGAGCGCAACGTGGCACATTATAAATAAATACTAAGAATGATCTTGGGAAAGATTTCCAATTTCCTTGATTTGAACCTTCCAAAGTGTGGAATTCATAAATAAGACATATATCGGCCCTAACAGGGACACATTCACAGTTTTCTAGCAGGGAACATCAAACAATCTAGAAAGCCATCTCCTCGTCAATTCACACCCTCTCTATATAATACCGCAAGGATATACGTTCAGGACCGAGAGGGGCCTAACGGGTCTGCTGGCGTGGTTTGAGGAGCACGAGGGACCCCTTCACTGAGAAATGTCCCCGAAAGAAGTGATAGATTAACTAATAGGTAGTTCTAGTCAATTGCCTACGGTTCACAACGAACAGTGGCCCCGTCGACATGAAATGAGAAATTAAAAAGCTTTTTTAAAATAATTAATCGAGTCAAACACTTTATTTTTGTAACTATGTATTAATTTGCGAGACATATTGAACTCATAAATGCTACTATCAAATTCAATGGCAGCATATAACAAAAGCGAAAAGCAAGTACACATAAACTCTATATTTGTTATTATTTAATAATATTATATATAATATTATTATATATATGGGAAATACAACACAATATAAGTATTTGGGAGTCACGCTAACAGCAGATGGTAGAGAGGAACAGGATGTGAAAAATAAAAATATAAGAGGAAAAATAGCCACAAGATAGTTGAATCCAGTGCTATGGAACTCAATTATTTCAATGAAGACAAAGAAACGCATATATAGCTCATTTATAGAGAGTACCACACTCTATGGGGTAGAAGTCTGGACACTATCAAAAAATTTGGAAGACAAATTCCAATCAACAGAAATGATGTTCTGGCGAAGATGTAAACTTTCTCTGTTAGATAAAATAAGAAATGAAATGAAAGTGCAAACAACCTTGAACGAGACGATCGAAATAAAACAACTAAAATGGTATGGACATATGAGAAGGTTGAAATCGGATAGACTTCCTCCAAAAAGTTTGGGAGTGGATACTAAATCGAAGAAGATACAGGAGAAGACCGAGAACATGGAACATGGCAATAACTGAAGCCATCGAAAAAAGAGAAATGGAGGAAAATGATCTATGGGATAAAGAGGCATGAGGAAATTGGGATGCGGAAAACGGCCAAGGCTGTAAAAAAACCGCTAAATAAATAGATATATACATAGATATATGAGCTATTAGTTTTGTTGCAACTCTACTAGATGGCTCTGCAGAACAAATTTGCGCATCATTTTAATTCAATTTCCATTCAAACAGCTCTCCACCTTGGCTTCATTGATGCCGAGCGTTACCGAATGACGCGGGGCGAGGCCGAGAAGGTCACGACAGCGGTGGGAGTGAGAGAGAGACACACACAGACACACACACACACAGAAAGAAGAAACAGACACAGAGTGAGAGAGGGACAAATATATATATATATATATATATATATATATATATATATATACATGGAGAGGCATAGAGAGACGGAGAAAGGGAGGGACAGGGATAGAGAGACGGAAGCAGACAAGGAGAGGGGCGGAAAGAGACAGAAACACACACACACACAAGGAAACAAACTGAGACAGGAACAGAGAGAGATGGAGAGAGAGAGAGAGAGAGAGAGAGAGAGAGAGAGAGAGAGAGAGAGAGAGATTCGGGGAGAGACGGAGAGAGAAAGGGAGAGGGAAGGAGAAAGAGGAAGATGAAGGGCAGAATAACGTCTGCCGGTTCGGCTAGTAACACGTAATATCAGGAGGGCGACGGCCAAGAAAACGGAGGAGGAGGCTTCTCATTTGTAATCGCCTAGGTCTCCATTGAGTATTAATCCGCCACTTCCCAGGAGAGCGGTAGGAACCAAGAAAGGCCCTGGTAAGTCTTAGAGGCACCGACAGATGACAACTGGAATGAGGGTAGGGCCAAACCGAATAGGTTTCCCCGGCTCATGAGAGCAGGAAACTTACACGAGAAAATCTGTCATTTTATAGCACCTTTTCTAGTTCTGTTTTGGAAGGCGAAAAGATCCACAGATTACAGCGACGGGCGCTCTTTGGTTCCGGCAGGATCAACGGGGTCGGAGGGTTAACGCTGCTTCCAGAAAAATGTGCCAGTGGGCGCATGCGTAGTGAATATCGCGAGGTTGTACATGACATGAGCGGAGATGAAATTCTAGAGATTCAGAGCGACAGTGTCCTTGAACGGAGAAGGCGACCCGTTGTAGTATTCAGATCGCTCACCTTTCACCTCTGGGTACAGGGATTTTCGGAATTTGTGGTGGACAATGCGGATTCCCCTTAGGTTTTCTCGGAGTTCTGCCGTTTCTCCTACCTCTCTTTTCGTCATTGTATCATTATAATCGTGTTAACATCGTCATCACCCATCAGTTCATATGACAGAAAATACGCAGCAAATGAAAAATCATAATAAAAATTAAAGGACTCGCAAAGGGAGAGCTGGAAACGCATGTCGTGCAACATCGCACAATGACCCCCAAAGACGAGGAGTTTGAGGAACTCGGACGACCTCAATGGGCAGTTGGCGGTGCTTGGCCATGAAGCCAATAAACGCAATTATTACCCAAGTGAAATGAGCTCACGGTTGGAGGAAGTGGCAAATGTTTCCTAGCATTCCTACAAGAGCCATATTTACTTACGTCTCACATCCGTCACGAATGTTATCTACTTGTGAATACACTGCATGTTGTGTCTTGTTCTATTATCATATCCATTGTTTCATTTTTTAACAATTTTACAATACAAATGACAGGACTGAAAAATGAGAAATAGCAATATTAATTTAAAGTAAGGAACTGCAATCCGTTGACTATATTTTGGTTTCCGTCGTGTTAACATTAAACCACCTCCAAAATGCACCCCAAGCATAGTATGACAAGAATGTTAGGACGTCTGGGAGCAAGAGCAATACGTCATATACAGTGAAACCTGCAATGTGCGTCATTCAAGGTTTTGGAGAAAATGGTCGCTTAATGGTGGTTTTCGGATAAGAGTAAATCTACCTCTAACCTAATTTTGCCCTTTATAATAGTCTTCATTACTTCTTAAAACATTTTTAATTTAGCTGAATCTACATAACAAACGATGTTTTCTGCATGTGTACATATTCAGCACCTATTACACAAAATCATTCGATTACATTTTTCCTCTTCTTTTTCACACCACTGATTGTTTCTTTCGCTTTTTATAGCCCTATGGATCAAAACTGAAAACGACAGGGTATTCTGACCGTCAAAGAGAGGTGAATCTACGAAATGTGCCTGGTCGCTGGTTGCGGAACCAGATGACCACAGAAGAGAGAATATTTATGTCTTATGTAAAAATCAATCGGCACCACGGAAAAAATGGCAATTAGTATAGGTTATCGCTTAATAAATCCATATCTGCTCGAATTATTTTTTAAAAAATGTATCACACCTTTGTTTCAGTATTAAAAAAATTAAAATCAGTTTCTTTCAAAATTTTGATATTTACTTGGTGACACTTTTTAGAATGCTACAGGAAACAACATGCAGTTCTAATTGCAATACTGCAACATTTCAAGGTGAAAGTTTAAACTATCTACAGCTGCGTGCCCAAACGAGCTCGCTACGAGGTCGTTTCAGCAGTTCACACAGTATTGCGCAAGGGGACCAAACATAAAATCCTTTTGGTAGCTGTTTTCCATCCTTTTTATCACTCACATCCGCGGTGCTGCAAGTCGTTACACACGTACTCCTTCCTCCGCGTATTTGCAATCACCAGATAGCCACGGGCGGGGAGCGGAGCGCCCTCCTGTTTGCGCTAAGCCTTCTCAGGGCCGGGCGATAAGGAGCGCGGGCGGTGGAGGGCCGCACGCGGTTCTCGTCGTCTACTTCTAGCTTCATGGGTCACGAGGCAGGATGGCCTTAAGCTGCAAGCAAAACAAGTAGTTGCTTAGGGATCCTCATCCATGGAGTCCCCCCTCCCCCGAAAAAAATAACACAAAATGTTGGTAACTTTAAAGTAATGGTGAAATGTCTCAATAATAAATCATTTTCTGGTATTTGCACAAAACGTTAATTCTATTATAATTAGTGTTTGTTCTGTAGTAAATTGGAGGATTTCTTTCCGAACGGGGAACCCAACACGATTTTGTACTTGAAGCCTTCGGAGTACCTAAATCCGGTCATGCAACGGGCTCCTTTCAAGGCTATCTGTCCTTATTTGTTTGAAAAAATAAATTATTTTTTCACATTGGCAAAAGCAAAAAGGAAATGTTACGAGAACCTCGAGTTTTCCATTTCTAACTTTTTGATGCCAGTGGTGGTGAATTCTAATGAGATCTACATTTCTTCAATTTTCACATTTTTTCGTGTGAAAATAAAGTTCCATTCATTTCTCCCGAAAGGACCGCGTTCCTCGGCAAGCTTCGGATGTTTGCTAGACGTAAATCTATCACTTCACTTCAATGACTGCAGGGTCACGAACGCTGCAAAAACTTCTCTTATTGCTATACTACGAATGCTCGTTAAGTAGTATTTCACACAAGCAAGCTTACGTTTCATAGCTATCTTGTGAATGCTGACGGTTGCTGGTTGTTTTATGGCAGGATTAGAGAAATGCTCGTTTCCCACAATCCAGCGAGCTCTCCAGCCTCCCCCCCTTTAAAAAAGATATAGTTTTCATTTGTTACCTTCGTTTGGAAAAAAAATATTTAAATGTTGGAATTATGTACTTACTTAAAAAACAATATTGTATAGTGTCATATGTAAAAATAATATACAATATTATAAAAAATGTTTTTTATTGAACAAAAATGTATGCCCCATCAAAGATCGGCTTGATCCGCCCCTGATCTTTCCTCCTCGTCTCTACTATTTCCCCTTTGGTTTTAGGACACATTTCTAAGAGTACTTCCATTCCCTACTCTCCTCTCTAGCACAATGTGTGAATAAAGAATATCGAGACTAGTCATATACACTCATCGCTCCCCTGCCTTGTTACGTATAACACGCCTGCGCTCAGGGATGTCATCCTCTGGTCACGAAATCAACTTCTGGAAGAGCCATCGCATCGCGTAATGATAACACTTAACTACTCTTCTTTTGCCTCCATTTGCGCTTTGCACAGTTTGTAGCAGGCAGAAGACAGTAGAATAAATTCTGGTAACTCACCAAGTTCTGTTACTTGCGTACCAACGTTTCAAGCCTTTTTGACGTGGAACGTGAAGTAATTCTTGAACTTGTCGAGTAATACGTCAATAAAGTCACTGCCTTTTATCCCTATCGGCCAGGCGCTCAGCGCCATTAGTAATAGGGTTCCCAGACGGTACTGCTTAACTTGTGACTTCACGGAGCTTGGTTAAGAAGTTCGGCTACCGTGTCGGCACTGTCTTCTCACATTCATATACCTAATTGCCAAACCTAAAAAAATAACTCTAGGATATAATGTTTGATGATGGTTGTTTCATAACACAAGGAAAAACCAAATTTCGATTGGTAAGAACTACAAAAAAATGGTGATTGAGTACCCTTGGTTCAACAAAAAAATCATGTGTTACAATAATTAGTCGAAGTCAGTGCATGACAATGGAGAGAAATGTACTAACTAATCGTTCCACAGGCAATTTCATAAAGAGTTCTGTATTTACCAATAATGATCAGCAGAGTGGGGAATTTAACTAGGAAACTAGAAGTTTCAAGTTGTATTTTAAAGACTATTTCATATTCTCTTTCTTCTTGGCCAATGATGTATTGAAACAGTTCTTTTGACTCCAAATCTTGAAATGTTTTTAACTATCCAGAAAAATGGGTAATTTCTTACAGAACTTAACATTTTAAGACATTTATTCTTGTGCAGAGAAATACATTCATGAATGCATCAAACTCTTCAAAAATCAAACTATTTCATTAAATTTTTCTGGACATGACCATTCTATCAGGTTCATCATATTTTCTTTTCTTAATTTGCTTTGAAACAAAGATAAGGCATCCTTCAGTATGTAAACTGAGGTGATTTTTTGCTAAGCAAGGAAGTATTTTCAAAATATTCTGCACTTTAAAATTACTAAATGAAAATCATCTTCACCGTTATCGTGTCTTGAGAAGCAATATTGAAGTTCCATTTTAACTTATCTACTATTTCATCGGCTCTGGAAGGAGCATTTTCATCATCTTTACTGATTGCAGATTCATTCAATAGTCATTCAATTTTCGCTTCATGTAACATTTAAATGCATGAACTCAACTGTAATGAAATTGTATTGTGCAAAAGCCTATTGATGTAAATATATGAAATAAAATAATATTATTTCAAGAATTCTAAATGAGAAAAACATCTTAAGTGAACATGAGAATAGAGGTAACAGTAATGCTGTTCTCATGCTGTTCTGAAGTTTCGAAACTATTTCTAAAACTGAAATTTATTTCAAGTCATATCAACAATCTAGTTCCTAGAAGACACTTAAAAGCAGCACGTAGCATCAACTTGCAACTCCCATTTGAGAAGCAAACAAATAAAGGCACCAAACAATAAAAAAGTAACTGACCTCCGGTTTATTGGATGAACATGTTATCACTTCATTCTCACAACCCTCCAGGCAAAAGAATTTCTAACAATCTACTCATCACCTTTCAAGTCACACAACGCTGAGTGATGAGAGTACCCTAATTGAATTCTTTCAATAAATGTACTTCCAAAGCAGCAGACTCCATTTCTGTGAAGACTAGTTGTGGCCAGTGAGTTACAATTAGGAGGGGTAGCATGTATATCCGAACTATCACTTACATTATTTTACCTCTTCAAAATATTTCTTGAGAGCAATGTCTGCAAGGTTTCATTAGTTATTAATGAAATAAAAAAACTAGGTGAATTCATCCCATAAAAGATGAAATACAGTGGTGCCATTGCAAAAAAGGTTTACTATTGCAATAACAAATTACTTTGCCAAGTTAAACAAAACTGATCTTTCACTTGTATCAGAATGTAATTATGTTGCTAAAATTAAAAGAAAATACATTTAGATGGAATAAATTTACTGAATTTTTTAGTAGTAAAACAGCACTCTGTGTTCTGATAAATTGATAAAATTTGTTTTCTCAGTACTTTTGTACCTAACTAAATAATCGTTCAATTTCTATAGAGAAATTGTCATACATTAAATTAATTTCTAAAATTAAAATGACGTATGAATTAGAAAAATAAAGCAATCTAAGTTATAAAAGCTTGGTTTGCAGTTTCTTTTAAAGGCTAAAAAGAATTAATATATGAATGAAATTATTCCGGGAACAAGAAATACATTTAAGGAATAAAACCTTAAAAGGAACTGTTCCTATGTAATAACATGTTCTGTACCATATCTTTTTCAATAAAATTTAATATTGTGCTATTGATATTTAATTGTGTGAAAGAAAATATCTAGGTCATAAGAGGGTTGTGTGTGTGTGTGTGTGTGTGTGCGCTTTGAACACTCGAGGCAGTCATTAAAACAAAATATTTCTTTTAGTTATAACAAAAGGCAAAAGGACAAAAAGTTATTTTTATTACCACACAAGATTGTGCAGAATCCATATATTTTCAAACTTTTGAATTACAGGAAAAATCAACAACAGAACAAATAAAACATTAAACAAATGTGGCAAAAAGCAACATCCTAGATTATCATCAAATTAGAAGAACTGATGCTACTTTTTACTGTATTTATTAACTTCACTCAACAATTGAAAAAGTCAAATTTCAAACTGTATTTTCTTATTCACTGAAGAGTCTACATTAGTCAGGATTCTAGCATCAAATCTGCATAACCTTTCTACCTTGAAGTGTTGAAATTCCAGTAACAGTAAATTGTCACCCAGAAGAAAACTGCTAGGCTTACATATATATTTAAAGTTGAAATATGTTATACAATTTACTTGAAATCAAACTGTTTCTGAGGGAAATTTGTGACCTTTTGCGGTTATTCTAGCTGTCTTGCTCTGTTATATACAATACACACTTTTTGCTGCTACATTTTCCTAGAACTATCAGTCACTTTCCTTCACGTCTCACTTCATCAAGACTAATGATTTCAAAATAACTGACTATTCTATCACAGTAACTAAAGTCCCATGATACACAGCAGCTTCTGCTACAAAATATGCACTACTGAATACCTAATAAATTTCATCTGTGCTTGTTGCAGAAAAAGCAGGTTCAGACTACAGAATTTCTTTTAAGGCTTTTCTCTCTTCCTACCTCCTCATCAACTAACATCTGATCAACAGTGACAGGCATCATGCAAGTAAAATTATCAGCAGCGTCACCACTATCACCATCCTCTCATAGTATAAGAACGGCTAAAAAAGGTAGCAAAATCTGGATGCATTCCCTCTCAACATCAATGTGAATCAACTACAATACAATTCACATTCGTATAAACAGTGGATAATCCATATTGATCTTCAGGAACAGTATTTGGCAAGGGATATATATTGCTGCAAACACAGCTTCCTATCATGATATTCGTATGCCTTTACTTAATAACAGTACCATGCATTAATTTTTTGCTGATACTGCATTTCCCCCTATTACCTGTTATCCTACATTTCGAGGATCCTTACTCAGGCAATGCATTACATCTTTTAGATTTCCCATTGGTCGACATTTTTGTGACTTTTTGTTCCAAGCATTGAAATGCTTCATATGATCAGCATATTCAGCATAGTAACATCTGAAAATTTGCGTAAATTAAAGTTTTGCTGCTCTCAGATGGTTTGGTTCAAGTTCCACCTTTTGGAGTGGGCCCTTCTCGCAATTGCTTCTGCTGCTCCAACAATCGCTCCAAAGGTGAAGGCCCAGGACCCGACCACAATGACTGGAAAAGTTTCAAAAAAATTAATAAAACTTAAATAAAGTTTAAAAAAATGATTGCATACCAGATAAGGAAGGGAATCAGGTGTATGACTACATACCTGCTGACCAAGACCGAGAGAACTTCCACCAGAAACTCCCAACACACCATTCAATCCGTTTCTGGAGCCATTTTCCATATCAACAGTGCGAGGCATATTATTTGCAGTCCAATTTGATGTGCTGAAAAGTGAATATGTGTTTGCCCCCAATGAACCAAGGGAAGAAAATGATCCTGTAACTGGAGCAGAAGAGAACATGGTATTTTCACTGCTTTGCACCGATGGAGCATCAGACTGAATTGAATCTGGAGCACTCTGAAACAGAAAAAAGGAGTTTTTATAATCTTTGAGTAGATTATCCTTAAAAAATTGAGAATTGAAAAGTCTTACCTTTTTAGATAAATCTGCGTCCATAGATCCACTGCTGGTGAATACCGAGAGATGGTTTGGTAGCATATCTGTCCGAGTTAACGGTGGTGCTTGGAATCCTGTCGTCCCAGCCAAATGTGACAGGTTCTGAGATGCAGCTGGAGAGGCGAATTGATTGCGATGCAGCCCTCCAACCAACTGATGGTGGAGATTCACGCTTATAGGAGCAGACATCTGCAGACCATTCCAGGTATTATTTGAAAAGATTTCATTGGAATTATCAGATTTCAAATGATTTAGTCCACGGAGAGATTGTTGTTGCTGTTGAAGAAGGTTGTTGTAAAAACCAAGATTCAAGGCCGAGGAAGCCAAAGGCTGGGACTGATTGGAATCTTCTCTGCTATTGGCCACGGGTTGTTGGTCGGTGCCCCACCAAGCACTTGCAGGGGGAGCAGGCGTTGACTCTTCTTGCCAGGTGTACGAAGGCTGGTGCATTTTCAGGCCATACAGGTGTTGCTGCTGTTGCTGTTGTGACTGCACCTGTTTTTGCGATTGTGACTGCTGCTGCTGTTGCTGTTGTTGCTGTTGCTGTGGCGGAAACAGGTTATTTTGTCCCCCAGGAAGAGGCTGATTTGGATACAAAGGTAACTGACTACTCCCATTGAATCCAGTGAACATTCCAGACAACTGAGGTGGTTCTTTAGCAACAAAGGACACGACAGGCCTTGCTTGGGCCTGTGGAGGAGTGGCAGCAGTGGAGTGCTTGAAGGCCAAGGGTTGCTGGGGCATTTGCAAATGGTTCTGGGGCAGGGAGGTGGCAGGTAGCAAGGGCTGCTGGAGTACTTGCAAATTGTGCTGCAGAGCGGATTGAGGGACTGGAGGGACTGGCTGCAAGGGCATCTGAGCTGCAGGTGGGCACTGCGGAGCAGTCTGAGGCAAAGGAGGTTTCATTGTAGGCTGCACCTGCTGTGGCTGTGGTGCAGGTTTCAGAGCTGTTGTGGCTGCAGCAGTAAGAGTAGCAGTGGCTGCTACAGCTACTGGTTGCTGTGGTACCTGGTGCTGCCATGCATTAGTTTTGCTGGTTTTGCGAACTGCTATTTCATCTGCTCCTTGTAAGCTATTAGGAGAATTACTTGGCGATGGAGTTTTAAATGTAACCTGTTTAACATTTAAAAAATTGTTACAAAAGCACAAAAGAAAATACACTGATTTCGTTGTAGATCATGTGAAAAAAATGTTTAGTACCTGTTTGCTCTCTAAATTTCTTGAAGTCTCCACATTCTCCCCTGACAATACAGATTTTCTCATAATTGCCTGCAATGCTACATTTTGTCTTCCTCGTTTTGGGACAGAATTACCAACTACATTCCATGAAGAAATGTCACTCAAGTTCTCTTTTTCTCGAGATTTTTCTAATGATCCCTGAGGCTTCAGAATTCCTGAGCGGCGTTCTGCAAGCAAAAAGAAAAAAGCTAAAATTAACACAATATTTCTTCTTCACGGTTTAATCAACTTGCAAATAATAACTTGTAGTACATGCAAGTGATCTGAGAAATTCCCAATTCACAAAATTTATATTTTAAACAGCACTTCAGTTTACCAGCAGTTCACCAAATCAGTTTACCAAATTTTAAATTTTGTCAACCAAGATTTATGAGATTCTTTATCACTCAAGCTATACTTCCCTGTGCCTCTCACTTTGACAAATGAAAATCCGTATTCTACTAGTACATTTTAGTTCTCAGAATTCAATTATTTTACTACTCTGCAGTGTGAAGCTAACCTGACTGTGTACAGTTTTGCTAACAAATCTATATGTTCAGCAAAGTTGGATTCAGGGTATGAAAGGGAAGATGAAGTACTGTTAAAAAGTGCCAAAAAGTAAAATCTTTCTTACACTCGTAAATTACTGATATTGTTAATTACTGGACTATTTATAACCAATTAATGCAACTGTATTATTTTGTACGTTGTGTGAAATACAAGCAAGAGCTGAAAAAAGGTTTACATGGAAGTAAGATGATGGTTGAAATAAACATTGAAAGCTGCAGCAAACACTAAAACCAAAACGTCTCTTAGGTTCTTCTCTGGCAAAATGCTTCAACAACATTAAATCATTTATTGTTTTTTCACAGAACTCTTAAATATGTCAGAATCAGTCAATATTTCTATGAAAAAGGACGATATACAAAGTTATCTGAAAAGATAGTGGATTCTGTCAAGAACATTCCTGAAGAACCTATTCTACGTAAAAAATACTATCTAGATCTATAATAAAGGCACAAGGTTAGGAATATATTTGTTCCTTCCATAATACCACTCATATGAAGAGAATTATAAAGAAAAATAAAATATATATGTATATGTGTGTGTATATATAATATATTATATATATATATATATATATATATATATATATATATATATATATATATATATATATATATAAATATATATATATATATATATATATATATTATATATATATGTGTGTGTGTGTGAGTGTGTGTGTTGTTGTATGTGTAATCTTGTAGCAATACACAAAGAGTGAATCTGCATAAACCTCACCTGGAGCAGCTAGGTCAACGCTCGACTGCAGAGGTGGGCTGTGAGGGCTGGGCAGAGAGGGCACGATCACCAGGCCATTGTCTGGGGTGGAGGTGCCAGTCACTGAGCTCCCCCAGCTGCTGGCCTCCGAGGGAGCCGGGGAGGGCAACTTTGTGAGGCTTAGCTCTTCCAGCTCGCGGATCAGATCAGAAGGTGGCACTTGCAAACCACCAACAGCTTCAAATATTGATGAATTGTTGTTCAACCTAAAACATACAATATTTGTAATATAATGTTTTCTTGAAGACTTCCTTCAAGCAATCCTAAAAATATAAGAAAGCATACCTGCTGATAATGAGTTGATAACTATCTTGTTTTGTTAGCCATTTACCAAATTCTACCAACCGAAAAGCTCTCAGTTTATTCATGAAAGCTGCATCCAAATTCCAATCCTGGTTATTAAACCTAATTCAAAGATAGAAACAAAAAGATAGTAGTTAATTTCATGGTAATTAATAATAAAATTAGCAATAACACAGTGGCATTAAAAATTATAACTGACTGAATACTTCAGCATCTCTACATCAGCGTGAACCATTGTTTTGTTCAAATATTGAGCTTACAGGCACAAATATAACAACGTTTTATTCAGCCGATTTGTCCAATTATCTTGTGAAACTAACAATTCACATATAATTCACATATATGGGTAATCACAACTCAAAATTCACATATATGGGAAATTTTGCATATGTGAATTTAATAAAACAAAAATATCATAACAATAGGAGTTCGGATTTTCAAAAGCAACATCTTTAAAATAAAGTGAACGGTAACAAGAGGGTTGATGTACCAGGTATATCAACTTCTACATTTGGATAGGAGGGACTATGAAATAATTTAACAAAGATGGGTTGCTACGTACTAAACACACACACACAAAAACGGTTCATGCAACTTAGAGAAGTTTTAATAACAAGAAAACGTTGAAAAATGTTCTCAACAAACCTTAATCCATTAAATACTTTTTCCAAAGGAAGAAATCCTTGCAAATCCCTGTCCTCAGGCAAAGGAACAGAATAATCTGAAATGAAAATATTGAATCAAATAAATTATTTACCTCAACAAAATTACGGGAAAAATCATTATAAAGATGTTATTGAGTAACATTTATAAAGTACTACAAGAGTATTCAGAAAACCAACTTACATTTCTCTGGTAAATCAACAACGGATGACTGCAGCCCATTAAGCAATTTGCACAAACTTGGCCATATTTGAAGACGGGTAGTAAATGCTGTATCAAGAAGAACTTTGGGCTCCAAACGAATCCAATCCAAAGTTAATTTAACTAAAGAGAGTATAATAAGAAATATACCTTTAAAACATTGTTATAATTGCTAACAAATTTACACAAAATGATACAAACAATTGACTTACTTGCAGGTAAGGCAAAGTATTCGAGAAGAGCTTCACCTTCTTTTAGGGTATAAACCGGTAACAAAAGAGCACTTAAGGAACCTGCCATGATATCCAAAATGAGGTGGCGAGACTGACTCTCTTCCTTTGTCAATTGCTCATCCGGTACAGCAAGAAATGACTTATCATTCTGCAATGCACCCCCAGCATGATGCAAAGCAAACAAATTGACAGCTAGCATCTGCAGAAAAATAAGAAATTATATTGGTTTGGATTATTTCAGGGCAGAATTATTAAACATAAAATTTTGCATATTTGTTAAAATATTACTTTATTATCCAATATGCAAGTTAAGTGAAAGAATTACATACAAAATTTGAATATTACATTACATTTTTAATGACTCTTTTCCTTTAAAATAACGAGAATGTTTTGGTTGATATATGCAAATAATCTTTTCTTTTCACATATTACATTTCATGGCATAACTATGGATTATTTTATGAACACACACTTTCTCCACCGAGTGTGGCCAGGCACCACTCTCCCCTACTCGCACGAAGACTCATACCCCTGCACACATACATAGGCACTGCCACATATGGTATAAGCAAAGTTGCAACAGACAACTCTAGTGCCTCTATCCTTTTATCCAGTAGTTTTGGCCAACATTCCAAAACATAGAATTGAAACCAGTCGAACCACCCAGCATAGCGATGAAATTGAACATCCAGAATTCAGTAGGATTCAAAACAAAAATTTCTTGAGCCTCTGTGATAACATAAACGTTCTCACTTATTGGTCACCTATGTCATTATGATTTGGACTTTATATGGCCTTAAAGGGACTTTAGTTATGAACATATACGTGTGAAAACGTATGAACATAAAATCCACATCTGAAATAATTCAGCATAGGAAGTGTAGGAATTTATTCAGAACTTTCAAAAAGAAATGTATAAACGTGAAAAACGTGTAAGTGCAAAACGTATACATAGAGTTTCCCTGTATTGTTGTGGTCTTTCTTCATTTAACACTTCTATTTCTGGTGTTTACTTTTGTGTATTCACTAACAAATAGTTATTTTTGTTCTTACATTGATCGATATGTAGTACTTTCTACCTTAGTAAGTAATTTCTCTAGAACCTTGTAGAATTCCCCCCCCCCCCCACACACACACACACCAGTATGTACAGACCACTATATGCTTACAATGTTTCTTGGCTGTTTATATTCATCAAAAAGAATTCCTGAACTGAGCTATTCCTGACATGTACATTTAGCTTTAATCCCTTTTGTTGTTCAGTTTGTTTATTATGGAGTATCTTCCTCTTGATATACTCTGCTTAAGAATCTAATAATGGTGGTATCTGTGTGATGTTTGGGTAATAATTCGGTGCATTTCTTAACTTCTAATTTAAAATGTTCATCATCCATTAACATACAGTTTATACTGAAATAAACTGACTTAATGGAAATCACTGTAAATCAGGGGACTAGGCTAAGATATTCAAACACCTTATTCTATGTCAACCCCCACACACGCATCATGCTAGCATCATGCTACCTTGTTTTGCGTTGGTTAGGTACTTTTTTTAAAAAAAATTCATACAAACAGGGTATATACAAGAATGTAAGTCATACCTGAACAAATTTCCAAGAAGTTAAACTCTCTGTAGCTACATGGGCAGTCAGAGTAGTAGTCAAAATCTTTACATACTTTTCTGCAAGATTTAGGTCAGTGCCAGCATAGAGAATACCATGCAATTTCAAAAACACTGATATATACTCTGATGTTGATAATTTGTTGCGCCCTTCTACATTAAGTCTGAAATAAAAAATAGTTTACCAGAAAGTGATCCATTAGTTTCAACCCTACTTCAAAGCATGTGAATAAATAAAGGTAGTTGCCAGTTGGTCAGCAAGTAAAATCAAAATGAACCATTTATTAAAATATTTATGAATCATTTTATTAGATATAGAGAAAGTACTCTTTCTATAAGTGTAAGATACATACTGTTCTTCACCACTCTTAGTTAACGTGCGAGCCAGGTTAGTGGCAGCTGCTGGAAACGGATGGCGAACTTCTACACTACGCACATAATGAAACACAGTGCTCAACCTGTCTCCACGACTAGCTTCCAGGAGAGCCAATTGATTGTAAGGTTGTCCAGAGTGTGGTGCTAATTGAACTGCATGCCTGCAAGAAATTCAATGCAATATTTTGATATTTACTGTTTTATGAAATAATTACTTACAAGATGAGAAACTTCATTAAATGCCAAACCTGTAAAATGCTTCAGCTTGGCGACTCTGATTACGATATCGAGCAATATCCCCCAAATGAACCAAACAATGCTGGCAGATGTAGTAGCAGGAACTTTTATGAGGCTGACTGAGGTGTTCTACTGCACGTAAAATTTTTCCACTGCCAAACACCGATCCTTTCCTGAATAAGCCAAAGTAACGTAAAAGAAACATACATTTCTGTCTGCACTTTAAATATTCACAAAATACAGATTAACGACCTTTGAGTTGGGCAGGCATACATGAGGGCCACCAAAAAATTAAAATAGAAGTATTACAATACACATAATCAAATCATACTGGATATCAACTCGCGAAGTGATTAAAGTTGTTGACATTTTGATTCATAGTTTTGAGTTCTCATAGGGAATGTGGATATAAAATGTAACAACAAAAATGAACATCAAGAAATTAAATGCAACCTTTCATATACCACCATTAGATTTTATGTTGCAGTCAAAGCTGGAATGACAAATCTTTACAAGAATATATGTGAATGAGAGGAGAATGTAATAAGTGCACTTATTTACAAACAACAAAGAATAAGTATGTTAGATAAAAAACAGACATTGGAAGACCTATAAAGAGATGGAAAAGTCAGGAACACCAAGAAAATTAATCTACTAGGTCTACTGAACTAGCACAAACAGGATCAGGATAATACCTAAACACCTGCAGTTCATGATGATGATGGTGATGATGTTGATGATGATAAAAAAATTAAAATTATTTACTGGGACGTTCACTCAATGTTCTGCGAGTGACATTCAGTATGATTTGATTCTGTAAATATGTAAAATAAAATACCTTTATTTTAAATTTGCCTTGAGGTCCACTTAATGGATAGATTAACTTTTTCGTATTTCTGAGTGGGTCAACTGCTATGGACTTTAGTCCCATAAGTGTAGTTTGTGTCTCAACCTGGGAAGTGGTGGTGTTCTTTTCAGACTGGATGGTGTGAACCAACGATCACCTACAAGTTGCCTTGCAGGGTTTCCCCGTTGGGGCATCTCCCCCAAGCAGAACATGTCTCAGCCAATGATTTCTTCGTTCTCAATATATGGTAGTGTAGTGAATGTAAGTAAGTATGTGGATGTTGCATTGAGGATAAAACAAGGAAGAGGAAGGAACAATCATGCATGGTCCATGGCATGCTTGTTAGAGTACTATCCCGTCATTTGTCTGGTGCTGATCAGAAAAACCATGGTAAACTAACAATTAGAACAGCTGATTACTAGAAATCTTCTCTGGACAATGGCTGAACTGAACCTAGCTTCACAGCCAGAGTCAAAAATCCTGCCACCATTGGCACTCAAACCCTAGGAACTCCCAGTAAGAGGCACTGCACTGACATCAGTTAATGTCCTGAGCCACCTCAGCGGGTAGGTCTGCATAACTCAAGGATCATTAATCTATATTAAAGTTAAAATAATGTAGTACTGAAAGTAATAACATATGAATTTTTCAGCATAATCCTAGGCATTATCTATCAACATTCCTTACCTTCGAAAGGGTAAATCTAAATCAAAAGCTGTACAAATTTCTTGCAATAATGTTAAATAAAAACCACTAGCAGCCTCCAAACACCATGATAACATAGCTTGGGATTCTGGACGTTTTGGATTCTATTAAAAAAAAAGAAGAAATGGAAATTAAAAACGAGATCAATTATGCAAATTTTTATTTAAATTTTCTATTACATATTATCTTTGAAATAAATTTCATACCTTTTTGTCCTTTGCTAAGTTTTGCAGAGTTCCAATATAATTCTTGAATCCATGGTTCCATAGTTCCTGTTCAACTTTTCGGTCTAGGGCATACTCTAAGTCCAAGATGAGAACTTGTTGATAAATGCGCTAGAAAATTCATAAATGTTAAATAAGTATATTATAATATTGTATACAGTGATGAAAGAAAAGAAAAAAGAGAAACATGCAGGTAAAAAAATATATTTACAACCCTCTCCTCACCTGCAGCTGTTGTTGACATAGCCACGCATCGTTGTCGTTCAATAAATCCTTTGAATTTTGAACTTTTTCTTTCAATTTTTCAGCTTTTCTGAAAATGTCAAAACACATTATATAACATGAACTTTTTACGTACCATACACTAAATTTATACAAGAGTCATAAAAACAGAGTAAGCAGTAGTTTTTTGAAAGCTGAGCTTCGAGCACACTGATACTTATAAAGGACACAGAATAGTGTAAATATTGTGACTTTCAGTACGGTGTCTAAAAATCATTATTAAAAAAAATCTTTAACAAACTTTGTTTTCAGTCTTCAATGCTTTTAATTGTTCCTGTGTTTTATTCTGCATAAACAGTCTCTATTTATTACAATACAAGTCTTAGGAAAGCAAAGACATTTACATACTTTTTTAAAATGTATTTTGCGTGGCTTGAATACCTCATTCATACTTGTTTTTAAGCATAATTGGTAATCTTTGGTTGAAAGACATTGAACTGTTAATAACTAAACACAAAACTATTCTTTATATTTTACTAAGTGTTTAATTCAATATTAAATTTAAACAAATAAAAGTCTCCTTTGGGAACTTGGGAACCCAATGATTTAATTCAGGGAAACCCCACTTTCCAGTAACAACTTTATTGAAACTAACAGAACCATATTATCCAAAATAGTATAATCATTTCAAATACACATTTTTTAAACCTCACGCTAACAATTTTTAGTTCTTTTTTATTATCACAAAAATATTTATGAGGGAATGGAGGTCTGAATTCCCCCTCTCCTAAACACCTTTGAATTTTGGATAAATTGGGACACCCTGGATAAAAAACATTATAATCAAAGTAAGAGGCAAAGGTAATAAATATTTCAACAATAAGAAATTTAAAGTTTCATCACAAAAGGGGATTTATTCATGAGTTGTAATCAGTTTGTTTTCCAGAAATGACAACACAAATTAGGAACAAATTATTTAAATATTAAATTAAATCATCAAAACAGAGGACTGTCATGATTTCTCACTAAATGAAAGCTTGCATGAACTGGGATTCTTTATAAAACATTAGGGTAGAATCATGCATACAAGTCACTGGCAACGATTCTACACAAGTTAAATATTCTACATTGCAGACTTCCGTTCCTATACATTGAAGTTTTTCTCAACCATTATGTTACAATTTATACAATTCTCAAAACAAAATATTTTGTCTGTATTATGAGTCATCACATCACAAACCCAAGAAGATCATTTTTGAACTTTTGTGAATTGCTTCCCCATTGCTCTTGCGACTGACGTACAAATGAAGAAGAATTCAACCTATACATCAAACCCAGCACTGCAAATTAGTGAGTTAGCATTACATATGCATAAAAAAAAAAAATGTTTTCTTTGCCATTTCTATTGGAGATATCTACAAGACTCATTTCCAATGCTTGCAGATACTGAAAGAAAACTAAGCACCCTCTGTCCTTGTGAAAGAGGTCAATGGTTTCTTTGAATACCCAGGAACTCAAGAAAAATCCTAAACAATGAAACCTTTTCAATTTCACTGAAAAATGCAAATATTCAATTGTTTTATTCTCCCTATTGTCATACCGAACATACTGGCTGAATTTTCATACTCAGTGTCCCAGCTTACAGCACAACTGACATCAAGGTTCCAAAAGTTCAAGCAAGATTCCAAGAAAGAGGCCCCCCCACCATTAAATATTTTCTCTTCTCATGGTGCATTTTAGAACGTTTTTTTTACATTCTTGGTGTGTAAAGAACTGTTTATTTTTATGTGTGACCTCTGGTTGACCTTTGACTCACTCAAAACACACTTCACTTGGTTACAACTCGAAAGCATTTCTACGTGAGGTCAATCCAAAGGAAACCTGCACGTGTGAACTCTGCGAAAGACCTATGATCCATCCAGCAGTGTAAAGAAAGACTGCTGTCAATCAACTAATATGCATGGATGAACAGTAACTGAGCGACTTAGTGATTGTCTTAAATTGTGATATTTATGTTCTTTTACTGTCTTATTCTCTGTAAAGAGATTGTACACATGTATTTTTCAGTATAATAAATTTTTAGGTGAGATTATTGTGTTTTACACTCAAAACCTTCAATACTATTGGCAGCTTGTTAAAGGCATCTCAGCCATGACATCTCTTGTTGAGACATCTTGTTGAGACAGTATTTTGAAGACTAAATTTTTAGTAACCCCACAGTATTTTCAGCCAAGCAGCATTTGAGCTTTACAAAAGGGCAATATTCTTACTGATATTGAAGTTATCTTTCCTGATATTTGTTTTTGCAATTAATCATTATCTTTTTAACTCTACTCAACTTTACAGCATGTAAAATCTTCTTTGGGATCTAGACAAGCTCTACATGTGAGACAGCACAAATAGTCTACGGAGCAATTTTTAAAGGTTTAATCAAGTTTCCTTGAGCACCAAGCTCACTTAACCACTCTGTCCACTTTCCTAATTAATTTTTTTACGATGACAATGCATTCCTGCCAACAATAATTGACTAGCCAGTCAGTATCATAATCTGAAGTGAAAAATGATTGTTTTTATTCCTCATGGAAATAAGAATCAAGTCCATTTAACTGTAAACTTAGTTATTTTATCATGGTGCATTATACATAAGTAAGAAGCACCGGAAGTAAGAAAGAATTTGAGGTATCTTTGAGAAAAGGATAAATAGATGAAATACGAAGTGCATATTGCAAACATGCACATGTTACCCATTTGCAATGGAACCACCTCACTCAACATGACACAATACACTTTTTTTTTCATATCGAGTTAGTCATAAGGAATTATTCATACTATTTAGAAATGTTATCATGTGATTTTAATTACATGAATAATCTTCACAATTACCAGTGAACCTGTCTCATTATAATTACATTAATTAAATATGAATACTCACTTCAGTGCTTGAATAGCAGCTTTCAATCCCATTATCTATTCTACCCAATCAGTTAAATACATGCCTGAAAACAAAGAAGATAGATATATATAATTTCATTGTAAATTTTTTTCCATAAAACCAAAACCAACAGCAATCATTTTCAAGAACTGAACGAAGCATAAATAAATCTCAAAATCAGAGAATTCTGGAGAATAGTCAGAAGAAATTAGAATGTGTTGATTTACATCAATTTTCAAAGTAAAAACTTTTGGTTATTACCCTTGCCACATAATATCTAAATTTTTGCTTCCTTTGCATCCAAAAATTATAAAAGATTCTCTTTAATGTCGCATTAAGATGAAACAAAGAAAAATTATTTTCAAAATTTTTTCAAGCTTCTTTCAATTCTAGGGTGCACTTATCAAAAGAATACTACATTCACTCACCAACACCCAGTTTTGTCAAGGGAATAAAGTAAAGGAATATCTTATTCCCAAAGAAAGGATAGGAGTCATGTCCCTTTTCCACAGTTGCCCATGACACATATGAACATAAATCCCTGATGTGAATGACTGAGTCACACTGATCATTCCATAATTATTACTTTTACACACCATAATGAAAAAGCACAACGATCAAGGGAACACTAATTGGAAATGGGATTCTGTAACCATAAAAAAAAGGTTTAAGGAAGGACATAAAGGTGCAATACACTATTTTATGTGAAAAAAAGGTACTTTGGAAATTTGTAATAATTTCCTATAAAACTTCACATCTCTCAAAGAACCCATGCAAACATTATTTGAAACCATCAAAATTACAAAAGTGTATCAAAAGTATAATGTAAATTATGTACAATGAACAAGCCAACAAATGATTATTATAGGGTTAATAATGACATTTCATAATTAATTTGTCTGCAGATGCAAAGATAATAGAAAAAATGGTAAATCAGTAATTATAACTAAAAATGTAAGTTCTTGGAAAGATCGCAACCTACAACTAGTTCAAGTTTTGGTACTCAACATAATATTTTATAACAATTAACTACTAATTGATAATCCCAAACATCCTACGTCTCATAATAATCTGTGACCCATTAACTAACTACATCAATATTGAGTATTGAATATGTGCAAGCAACTATGTTAATTTTTCTTCATAATCTTAAAACTGACAATAAAGAACAGGTTTAAATTGCATTTAGTAGGCAAAACTCACATTAAAAGAGAAGTAATCAACAACCAATTTTTGATTAATAATTCTGAAAGTTTTTTTAACATATATTCATCAATATGTTCCTGCATGCATGAAAGAAATGGAATCACACAGAACTCAAAATTCATTTGTCATTAATCTTTAGCAACTGTTGTAAATACTAGGCTACTAAGAAAACAAATGCTTAATCAACATTGCAACAATACAAAATTACATAACCTCAATAGTCTACTCATATAATTCTCTATTTACATAAAATATTGAATTTTCAGAGCAAAATATGCTGGGTTCCTAATTTTATCAAAAGGGTTGCAAACAAAACAATTCAATCCAGTTATTCATATTAAAGGATAATACAAATTATTTTAAAAGACACTATTTCAGGAAAATACAGAAATATTAGAAGATGTAAACAACTATTCTTGCATTTGCAATACAAAGCAATCAAACGTCACTTTATAATTCAAACTGACAAAGCAAAACATAACCTTACATTCAAATTTGTATACATATAAAAGTAATCGATATAAATTATACGAAAAGTTGCTATCTATAGTTCGCACGTTTACAAGTTTGAATGTAAGCAACATTAAAATATTGTTATAAATAATCCCTAATGCGAAAAATTAAAAAGTAACAATTTTACTACAACCTGACAAGAGCAATAGCTAAGTATGTTGCATAATACAATGCATTTTTAAATTAGTTGCAACACTTAACTCCTCAAATCTAGCTATCAAAACACCAGAATTACTCACCATCACAAATGTCACATATTTACAACATTAAAATACTACACTTCTCTACAACAACACGATAGTTGAACAGCGTGAAAAACCACCTAAACATCTGATACTTCCGGTGGTCCGGGTCATGCTGGGATGTGGATGGGATGCTTATACTGAACGTCAGATCAGAAGAAACACAACAAATGTGCAACGTTGTTATTTTTATTAATGTTACAGTGGTGATAAATAAGGACTTGTGTGACGAATTTTATGTTGAACCAAATATGGGATAATTTTAGAATGTGAGAATTTGCTGAAAGTTTAAGCTTATGTTTTTAATGGTTGGTAGTGCTGGTGCCTGACACATTCTCATATCTTCCTCCCTCTCCCGCCCCCATCATATGCGTATTTAGTTGGTTTTCCCTGGTTTTCCTGCACACTCTGAAGAAAAATGTACTGGGTAGCCGTGGGATCAGTCGTTATGAAAGCGCGGGATGTTTTGAAAGTATACTTTTTGTAACAAGTGTCGGTAACAACTGTCTTTTGTAAAAAAGAAAAAAAAATATTTTTAAATATTTTTAAAATCTTCACATTCATTACTCTTTAATTATAACGATGTTATTTCGTGGAATTAAAAGCGGTATTCAGAGTTTTGCTAATCGTTCTTTGGTGAGCATTTTGAATAAATTGGAATGTAACTTATGTTCAAAAATAATTTCATCAGTGCACTATTTGTACCATAATAACAACTTTGCAATTGTATATAGGTCAGGTTAAAAGCCAGTAGATCAGAAATAGAAAGCAAGCAAAAAGAATTAATGTCACGTGGACTTCCAAAAAGGAAAAGTATTACTGGTGTGAATCAAATCGTAGTTGTTGCATCTGGAAAGGGAGGTGTTGGCAAATCAACAACTGCAGGCAAGATTGAAGATCCTCACAAAATTACTCCTTAACTTATTTTGTATATTTTTTAATTGCTTTGATATTGTCAAATGTGTTGACATAACTATGTTATTTTTTCTTAAAATAATTATTTATTTATTTTCTGGTTGAATAGTTAATCTTGCCGTGGCTCTGAAGTTGTTGAATCCTAATAAAACTGTTGGGCTTCTTGACACTGACATCTTTGGACCATCTATTCCTCTCATGATGAATGTTCAAGAGTCACCATTATTAACAAAAGGTCTGCTGAATTAAAATATTCATATTGATGCATTTCAAATTGTGAGTAATATAAGACAAAATATATTTTATTTCAGAAAATAAAATGATTCCTCTGGTTAATTATGGAGTTGCATGGTAAGATATCACATTATATATTTGCTTCAAATTTCACATCTTAATTTCTTTTTTTTTTCCTGGTAAAAAAATTTAAGTATTTGAAAACCACTGCTGAATAAGCCAGAAAAAATGATGTGCATGTTCCGGAGAAGTAACTGGTTTAGAATTTCAAATATTTGTTTTTTGATATGTTTACAATAAAATATTGTTCTTTATAATATGATATAACTTTTGCAACCCACATTCAAAAAACAAAATTGCAGCATGTCCATGGGATTTCTAGTGGATGAAAAATCTCCTGTTGTGTGGCGGGGCCTGATGGTAATGAGTGCAATAGAAAAGCTGCTCCGTCAAGTAGATTGGGGATCTCTTGACTACTTGATTGTGGATACCCCTCCTGGGACTGGTGACACACAGCTGTCTCTTATCCAGAACATTCCTATTTCAGGTACCTTCATCCAACTACATATAGGGTATTGGTTTTATCATCAAAATTCAATTCATTGTTGTCATTTTCTCAGTTTTGAAAGTTCTGTGATGTATTGTTTCCAAAAGTATAAACAAATAAATGACTTATCACATTCTCTTTTTATTTTGGGTTTAACAGGGATTGTGGGGGAAAATGTAATAAGCTAAAAATACAAATTTTAAAAATTAAATTAAGCTTACAAATCTGAATTTTTCTGTGGGAAAAGAGTTTGCAAAAAAGACAGAAAGTCCAAATTTGTAATATAATGAATAAAATTTTTTCAGTTTTAATATTTAATTTAATTTTACTTGCTGAAATTAAATGTTAGCATAGTCCTTTTGTTTTTGGAAAATGTAGCACTCTTTGAGAGACATTGAGATTTTTATTGAGTTCAAGAGGAAAAATATATTACTCATTGGAATAAAAAGTTTCGATTGCCTGAAGGGAGTTTTTGGGTTTATTGATACACAGCTCTTTTGCTAGAAGTGGTAGGAGTAGAGTCTGGGATTCGATTTGGTATTTTGTTAGCAACACTATAAAATCAGATCTGTAGTTTGTTTACTGCTGCAAATGTTTTCTATTACTTGGGAGCAAAAAAATCTAAGTTTTGAAATTATGCTAACCTTGATTTGCATGCTTGCTTTGTTGGAACTTTTATTCATCTTTCATCTATATATAGTAAAAGATTGGGGGTAAGGATTCTAAGAGTTCAATAAAATATGAATAAAATATATTTCTCTCCCAAATATCACATAGTTTTTTTTACTATATTTTAACAAAAATAATTCAAATGAAATGAAAGCAGCATATTGCCATATTGTAGCTGATCTGCTTGTGTACTGACACCTTTTACTAGGTCAACAGTGTCACTGTCCTGTGAGTCACTAAGAAATGTTTATCTAGTAAATTGTTCAGAATCAGGTTTTGTTTCTGGGAGTTAAGTTTATTTTAAAACTCAATAGACACTAATGCTAATTCCTCCTAGTTATGTCTTCATACTAATGTTCTACTTATTTAACTCACTATAAAATTTTAGTTTACTCATCAAAACTTTTAAATTCATTAAGCCCCTCGATTTCTTTAAAAAAGGAACTTTGCAAATATTAAAATTGCGAAGTTACAACAACGAAAATTGCGACAACTGACAAACATTCTGCAGCTCCTCCCCTATCCAGTCCATTTGTCTATTGACACTATTATCAATTAATTAAATAATTTCTTAATTACCATTCACTCTCTTTAAATCTTATTTTTGCCCAAAGAATTGTTTACTTATTTTGAAAATACATACACTATATCGCCCTACCCTTAACTACCATTCTCAAGTACTTGTACAGTATTTGATGACTGACGTACTGTATTTGATGACTGACGTACTATATTTGATGAGTACTTGTTCTTATGTATTAAACAGTAGGCACTACTGTTTTTTGGTTTCAAACTTCATGAGTTGAAGAAAAAAAAGAACTACAAAATAATATTTATTTTAGATTCCTTTGGGTTTCAAAATACCCTTATGTTGTGTATTTTGCTTCAGGTGTTCTGTTAGTGACGACTCCTCAGAAAGCTGCCTTACAGGTCACTCAAAGGGGAGCAGTATTGTTTCAAAAACTTGAAGTGCCTGTTGTTGGTATTGTAGAGAATATGAGTCATGTTGTATGTCCAAATTGCCAACATTCCTCATCATTATATGGCCATGGTACAAAGGATTTAGCCTCAAACCTAGGTGAACTGTTTTTCTTCTTCCTCTTATCCATCTGTTGCACTCTGAATTTAAAATATTTTCCCAATTGTTTTGATAATATGGTGTGTTTTTGGTGCTTTCAAAATGTGAACAGTTTTATAAAAGTTTATTTCAGTATCACTAAATTTGTGACTCTTGTGATAATTCAGTATATTACTAAATTATTATTACTTAAAAGTTTGATAATACTTATTTTTTTCTCTCTAGGTATTTCACTTCTTCAAGAAATACCTCTTGACCCAGCCATAACGAAATATACTGATAGTGGAAAGCCGGTGGTCATTGCTGAACCAGACAGTGTACAGGTTAGCATCCAAAAAATGTTTGTAATTAATATGTCTAAAATTTATAAATTCTGAATTGTGTTCTACATTCATAAATTCTTATAATAGAAGAAAGCTCTTTATGCTAAGGGTTGTGAAAAATTTGGATAGGTATATTGTAAAGTTCCTGAATATTGAAAGTAGTAAGAACTTTCTTTTATTACACCTTTGTAATTTACATTAAACACCTGTACAGAATAGTCTTAAAAATAAAACTAACAAATCAGTCTTTAAATTGGGTCCTCCACCCTTCACAACCTGCTGGAGAGTGAATAAAAATATATCTTCTTTAATTTTTTTATGAAGTGTTTTGTTTTATTTCTTCAGAGAATGTCTGTCTAAATAAGCTTTTTGAGCTATTGTCAACAAAAACAAAATTTCTCCCAAAACAAATGTTATGATCTCAACACAATACAAACATGTTTATAATTAATGAAAGGAAAGCAGCAAGAAGTGCATTCACTAACTGAGACAAGCCTGGATTGACAAAGACTGTTTTTTTCTCTGGTTTACAAATATTAAAGAGAAAAGCATTGTCATTATGTTGCCCACAATTCTCAATATATATAATTTCCTACATTTTGCGGTTGTCATATCCAACCAATCAAAACAAATGAAGTGTCAAAAGAAAAATAATTTCATGGACAGTTGACAAATTTCACTTCCACTTTATAAATATTAATATTTGTTGAGAAAATAGGGCTAAATTATGTAAGCACGAATGCAATTCATAACAAATGTTCTGTTTGAAATCAATCATGCATCATGCACTTGAAAGTGGTGCATCTCAGAGATTAAAATCTAATTTTATAGCCCCAAGGCTCCTTAACTTTAGTACTGTACAGTTATGTTTGAGCTATGGTTGGTTTAGATGGATGGCCTTGGCAAACAGATAAGTGGTTTTGTTAGTGATGCCAGTGTATTGGTCCAACACATTGCTTGGATTTCATTATTGAATTCATGTAATATTTTAGACATTGTCATGTTGCTCGTTGTTCCTGTGTCAAACATTGAATCACAGAAATGACCTAGCACAATGGTTTTCCTGCAAGCCATGTGCTACTGATGACCATTTTAGCAGTATTGAGAATGCATGAAAGAACACAATTTGTGGGTGAAATAATCAACTTTGAACGTACTCAAAAAGTAGAATTAATTTTATTATGCTTTCTAATTCTAATACACAACATTGAAACTAAGCCGTCTTTATCAAAATATTTTAACTTCCAGGCTATGGCATATAAAACATTGGGAAGAAGAGTGTGTGAATTTTTAGCAACCCAAGAAATGAACAGTAATTAGAAGATTAATTAATATTTTTGTTCTCTTGTAAAATATATGTAAATAAATATGTAAATAATTGTCTGATATTTGTGTTCAATTTGTAATGATAATCCTCTCAGAAAAAACAAATTTTTCCTCTTGAAAAAATTGTTATTCAAGTAATGTGGGAATCCTGGGGAAATCCAATGAGATATACCGAGTCTTCTTTTGCTTGAGCACCATTCTTAAAGCATGCCGTTTGTAAGGCTATGAGCAACTGAAGTGAGCATTGCCAGATTGGATTAAAAATTTTTCAATTACAGTATAAGCAAATGTTTGTAGCCACATTGAGAATAATTTATTAACTTCTAAATTTCAACTCTTCTTCTGAATAAAATAATATTTATGACTAAATTGCTTATTATTTGAAAATATACCCAACGTTCACAGGAAATTCGAAGTATGTTAATTTCTATATCATCAGTGAAGAAACAAAACCATGTAACTGACATCTTAGGCTTTATTGGCATCCCTAAAACTAGAGATGCTATTTTGATAGCATGGGAAATGTAATTTAACAATTTTCATTAGTTAAATTACATATCCCATACTATCAGATGTTAATGCCAAGCAATGAAAAAAGTAAAAAAATATTTAAAAAAAATAATAGAAAGTCAGTTAAGTAGTGTTTTCTTCTCTGACAATGTGCATTTTGATAGGGCAAAATACTCTTATACTGGAAAAATGTATACTAAATATATGCAGGTCACATTAATCTTAATTCAATATTTATATTTATATAAAAGATATCTTAATGATGGAGACTGTATAGCTTTTATTGCAAAGGCTTCAGAATTAGAGTTGAACAGAATTTCTCAAGTGTCTGAATTTAGTTTATTTCTATGTTTGGTACTTTTAAACATAAATTCCACATTTTACAAATCATTTTCCTTTCAGGATATTATGCATTTCAAAAACTTATTTTCCTTTGGAAAACAAAGATGAATGGCTTTCATTTATTGATAAAATTAAAGTGAATGCTAATAGTAGATTTTATAGGTTGAAATATCTTTTTCTTTTTTTAATTTTTTTATTTGGTATACAAAATATCAAATAAAATTCAATTGGGACAATTTGAAAGTTCTGATATCAACAGAACCCTTTTCTCTGTGGTATCTCAGAATATCTGCACTACCTATTGTGAAGGAGATAGACATTTACTCAAAATGATAGGACCCCATGTTATCTGATACTTACTTGATTTCACTGTGAAAGACAAAATTAACATTATTTGCTTTACAAATAAAAATTGTACCAAAAATTGCAACCTACCAATATCATTAAGAGAATTAACATCTAAACTGCAGGAATTTCGGATTGACATTACATCGTTTTTCGCTTCCATGATTATGGTAGTTCCGATCGACCTGCATGGCTGGTGGAACTTTAACATTCCCACGTCCATAACTGAAGGCTCAATTAAGTCAGAAGTTTCAGGCATGGAGCGCAGTGCTCAGTCATGAACTCAAATGAAACATACAGACTTGATAGACAGTAAATGATGATTAAGATATCTGATGTAGATGATTTATCGGTCAGGAAACACTTTCAGCAATCTGAGAGCTTGTGCATTTGGCAACACCTTACTATGTGCTCTCAAGCTGTCAGTACCCAATAGATAAATATATAATTGTCTCAAAAAGGTCTCTAACTTCTAAAGTTTCGTCAAAGGCTTCCCTGATTTTGCTAGACATTTTCAGATTAATGAAATTCCCTATTTTCTCGGGAAGTAGCCCTATTCAAATAAAATAGTATCAGCAGTGATGGTTTTAAAGAATGATGTTGGCAACATGCAAAATATTTTAATGGATGTAAAATATTGTTATATTACAAAATAATCTTTAACTTTCATTAATCAAATGTTTATTGTGCTTATTACAGCAATGTTATTTATACAGTTATAAACTATTTATCTCAATAATTTACTTTGTTTTCTGCACTGAAAGTACAGCATCAAGACAGTGATACATCATTTAATTAAAAAAAAAATCAAATAAGGCAAGAAGCAAAATAAAGGTAATAGATAATACGAAAAATATCAGTCTAACATTCTTCCTCAGAGGTTATTACTGCTGAAGGACATGTTTCTCTCTTTTCCACTTCAGGCAAATGATTTCTTCTTTAGTAAACAAAGCACCAACCAAATTGTTTTAATGTCAAATATTCAAAAAATAATTTCTACACAAAATTAAGATTTTCTTTCAGATAAACAAAACACATTTCAATTCTCTTTTTCATTTGATACTTGAATTTTCACGCAAAATTTCCACCAAGTCTTTCAGACTAGCATTAGTTCTCACAGCTTCTGGATCAAAATGAGTCCGACTTGCTCTAAAACCTTTCTTCTGCAAACACTGAACCGCTTTTTCCACTCGTAGAAGTTGAGGACCTTTGGGGGAATGCCGATGAAGGTTGAAATAAAATGTCGGGGCTTGTTCAATTGTATCTTCATCAGAGCTCAATCTGAGTTTTTTATTTGGAGGCTCAACCTTTTCATCAGTCAGTGTGTCTATGCAACTCGATGAACTGCATCTATAAACAAAACCAAAAAATGGCTTCTTAGCATCCTACAATTTCAGAGGCTATACTCTTATCGGAATATTTTAGGGCTCTTATACAAAATTGCAAAATGAGACTGATGTCAAAAGTGTAAAATAAAAATATTTTATTTTATTTTAATTTTGTCAACTTTTTGAATTTTAAATGCCAAAAGTGTGAATTTCTTGAAATTTGTAAACACAAAATTTTCTAACTTTATGTCAAAGACTTTGTAATGCACTGTGTCACTCATTAATATATTTCGTCGGGTGCTCATTTTACAGCGAAGAAAACAAAGATAGTAATTTATTTTCATACGATAGAAACTGGACATTCGGAGGAAAAAAATTACAATATAAAAATTCCAGGGGAAATCAATGTATAATGACCATCTTTTTAAAAGATGAATTTTTGGAACTTACTTAATTCCATAAGGTCAATGTGTTTCAAAGCTCAGATTAGAAATCACCTCAACTGGACCAATAATTAATTTGGTCCTTTATAACCTCTCTGTCCAACCAAATTATGATATCTGAGTTTTAAAATTTGAAATACCAGGTCTGTTTGGTGGTTGTTTTATTAAGTAATCTCTGTAACGCCATACAAATATGTGGCCAAGTTGTTGGGGAGAACTTGTGGCTGAAGCGTCTTACCCCCCTCCTCCATTTTTGTGGCTGAGGTATTTTCCAAATTGACATTAATATTTTGCTTAGGTGAAATTTGCAGAAATATTTGTCATCAAGAATAACTTCCTTATTTTGTATATAATTTGATCAGGAATTTTTTCCTAAATATTTATTGCAAATAAATTTCACATAGAAGAATACTTCAATATTACAATTCCTTATAATACAGGAACTACTGTAAAGAAAACTCGTATCTCAAGGACCACTCTTGGACAGCTAATTCTAAATGAAGAGAAATTATATAAAGAAATATTTAATCATCTGAATCAGTGTTATTTACACTTTTCCTTTCCAGCATAGCTTATGAAAAATATTGTGCTCACATACCACAGTTTAAATCTTCATTAATTTTTTAATAGGGTGATTCAGAAATCAAGAAATATTTGATACAAACAATGAACACATTCAGCACCATGCATTTATTTTGATTTTTTTTTATAACTTTGGAAAGTAACTGCTGAGAGAAATGCTCAAAAACCATGTCTTAAGGAAGAATAGAATCAGAGAATGTTTCAAAAGTTAATTTGTCTGTATGTGATATTCACACAATAAAACTAAATCATGATTGACTGTAATAAAACTCAACCTGAAATTTTGGCTATCTTACCTTGCTTCATTTAGAAGCTGCTGGAGCAGAGCTTCTACTGTGTGCTGCCATGGAAATTTCTTACATTTGGAGAGCATTAAACTCAGAAAATCGACATTAAAAATCTCAGCACACCACACTGGACCCAACTCTATTGCAACTTTCCCTGGCATTCGTGCTGGACAACCACAGCCCAAGAGAGAGGATGGATTTTCTAAGAAAAAATTTAAAAAATGGTTTAATTAGTTTTAGTTAGTGATGAAGTTCAATTTTATGAGAAAAGTTTATATCAATTTGGTATGTTACATACTCTAAATTGATACTCTGATTTATGGTTTGCTATTAAGGCACTAGCAATTGTTTCAGCATTGTAAATGACATGTAAAAATATGTAATAAAAATTAATAAATTGCAGGTTACATATAAATCTTTGAACCTGTAATGCTATGAAGTATTTAAGCTGCAATTTATGTCAATGAATATCAACACTAGAAAAACTTCATAGAATGTTTAATCAATAATGAACATTGCTCCAAAACTTTTACCTATTGGATGATTTGAGATTGGATAAAAGGCACGGTCTTCACACATGTTGCAATGAATCAAACGTCTAATATTACTTAGACTCTTTTTAGCTCCTCTCTTCACCATTACTAGCACTGTGAATGAAGATTTCCATGATACACTGCAGAGCACTTCGATATCCTTATTATGAAGTGCAGCTGCCCTAAAATGAAAATTAATTTTGTAATACAAGGGAGAAGAAAAAGAAAAGAAATGAAGTTCTGATTGTTACCAACTGAATTTATATTTGAACATACCTTGCAAGAGCAGCCAAAAATAATCGAATTGCCAATTCCTTGGAATAAGCAGTTCTTGATATGAAACCTCCATAATTTCTTAATGCTTTAGGGGACATGCCATGCAATGAAGCATCATCCTTAGTTGTAATAGCTAAAAATCCAAATTTTGGAAGATTTCGAAATATAGAATCAAAATAAAAAGCTGCTTCTGTGTGACAATCCAGAGAACTGCCAACAAAATAAAAAAACTTGGAGGTTGAAGGTTCCACATTTATATACAATGGTGATGTTCATATTATAAATGTATTTGCATGACTACATTTGTTTTTGTGTGAATAGGTTGTGTCTAGTAATTGAGTACAAGTATAAAGAAGTAGCTACTTGATTGTTCGGGAGAAGTTGTGTCCTAGGCACAGGTGCCAACGTTTTGGCTGACATTCTGTGACCTTTCTCTGGACAAATCGAAACCTATGTCTAGTACATGACGTTTCTCGGACAGTCAAGAAGCTATTGACACCAGCTGCAGAAGCCTACGCTCTCCAGAATGAAGTAGCATTATAAATAAATACAAGTGTTTGTGGATTAATAAGTCTAATTCGATTTTTAAAAGGTTCTTTGAGTTCATCTCTGCAAGTCATATAAAACAACATGTTCCTTTTTATTTTCATTGGTACTCTAACTACACTCTGGTAAATTCTGGTGCTGCCAACAACAACTGATTTGTGCAGGAGAGTCAAAGTGATGTATGGATATGTAGGGGAAGAAGGAAATAAAAAACGTACATGAATATATAGGCAACTATTAATTAAAGAAAGGAGAAAACTTTGCGCATAGCCCTTCATTAATATTATCCATCATTACCCACTGAACTGCACTCCTTGTTGGGAATAATTAATAGTGTTCCAGTTTTATAAGAGTTATTAACTAAAGTCTTGTTTTGCTTGAGAAAGATAAGAGAAATTGGAGAAACAAATGCAAACTTATTGAAACATGATGTTAAAAATTAATTTTTCAAGAGTTAAACAGGGTAAAAATTATACAAAATATTGGGATAAAATATATGATATAAATGATTGTGTTGATTAGACACAGTACTTGCAAATTTGTGGTTTTCAAACCTGTATTATCTTGTTTGGTTGATACTAGATCCTGAATAAAATTACACTGATTTTATTGTTACTCTAAGACATCAGGATTAATTTGGAACTATGTATGGTAGGTTTACCTAGTGCAACTCATCTTGGTTGTAAAGATATGAGGCTTATCATAGACACAAATTCACTTCTAATGAGTGAACTTGTGTCTTACATTAGGCTTGAGAAAAAAAAATTCTTTATGGTTTATCACTTTCCTTTGTCATAGCAGAACAAATTTCTGCTTGAATTACAATAAGTTATAATTACTTTTTGGTGGTCATTACATTAAAAATAAATGTGTAATTACCAGGGCTACAATTTGAAACTGTCTTCTCTTTCAACCACAACCACTTTATTTCTAGTTACAGATGATTATTTTCTTAATACTTAAAGTAGTTTAATATATTTTAATTTAAAGAAACATTTTTTGATAAATGTGTGCAATCAAATGTTTTTTTTATTCCTGTTTCAATACTCTTAAGGAGTAAAAATATAAATTGAGAAACAAAAATGTAAGTATTAGCAACAAAGATTAATTTAAAAAAATAAAATCTCTAGTACACAAAATACGGTGCATTACACTTGTAGTTACAACTCTGCTAATAACTCCAACAGGAATCATATCTAGAGCCATGTCCTAAGTAAGAAAGCCTACCAATGTCTATAACCAAATGCTTCATTTATTTAAACAATTATGAAGTATTAAACTGCAAAGGAGAAAAATATCATGGGAAACTGATATCAGACTACTTTGAGTTTAAATTTTGTTTACTCACAGCCAATGCAAAATTGGTTTTTATGCTGGGAGATTTTACCAGCTAGCAACTACAAATATTCTCCTGAAAGATTAGTATTTTTGAGGATAAAATTGGAAAAGCCTAGCTCCTCCCTAGATATTAGAATTTTTAGCACCTTTTGATTCTTATATATATTTGGCAGTTCAGGAAGGGGACAAACAATATGAAACTTGAGAACAGACAGACATGTGAGAGAATACAAATATTCCAAAGGCTGCAACCAAGAATACCAGACAGAGAACTTTCTCTTTGTGCTTTTTCCCACAAAACTAAATATTTTTTCATCATTTGTGTTTAAATTTTTATTTTATTTTAATAGCTATTGCACTGTTTTATTACACAACTTAGTCCTAAACATTCTTTGAAAATCAGGTTTAGTTATTTTAAAAAGAACCTATGAAAGAAACCTAGGTGATTGAAAATCTGTCAAATGGAAAACTTACATGAAATTAAAAGTCTGTTCATGCAACAACACACACGTATCCTTATTTAAGACAGTAACCTCCAAATTATTCTGAGTAGCATTTTCTTTAATGTATTCATAAGCTTTTGGATGAGTATCATTGATGGTAACATTGATACCAGTGGGGAAATACTTTTTCCATAGTAAACCTCCAATGCCTGTTGATCCAATGCCATCTAGGCATCGAACAGGGTCAAATACTGATACACCCAAATCCATGTATGCTGCCAATGCAGTACTAATAATTGCCCTGTTCAACAAAAACAATATTATAAATAGGCTACACTCAGGATAAAATATTTTAATTTCTGGAAACATTTACACGGGAAATAACTGACAGAAAATTAACCTATTTAGGGCGAAAGCTTTATTGTAAAATACTTCAGATTTTTTGGGAGTAGTTATGTCCCATTCTCCCCGAATTTTAATGTCAAATTCTGACACATTGCCATCTTGAGGATTTTCTGCTTCCAATGTTACATCTGCATTAGCATCGGACATAATTGCCGGCACAATCGATTGTCTAAAGTAATAGATATTTCAGCTCTGAGTGGAAAGAAGAATGCCAAAATTCGGATAAATAACACATTTATTCACTATGAAGTTAGCAGTATATATGTAATACCGGCACAGTGGACTACTGGTACATTGACACTTTCAACACGCCGTTTCGCAGAGAAGACAAACCACGACGTAAACGTGAAATGTCAAATTCCGTCACACTATACGTCAATGTCAAGCGTTCCAGATTATACACGAATTCAAGAACTTCCCCAACCTACTTCCCATACCAACTGCATACCAATAACATCTGATTCAGTGAATAAACAAGTAACTTTGTACAAAATCCATGCGCTCGTGGAGTTGACATTTATAAGGCCTATAAGCACAGTCTAACATGTGATTGTATTTTGTTGTGACGATATGATTCCTTTACAAATATTTTCCTCGGTCAATTACGTCAGAAATGTAAAAATTGCAAAATTAATATTTTTGTCGTGTTTACGACCTATTGTCTACAGTCTTGTTTAATTTTATTTCAAGAAAAGTTAAAACAACGCTGCTGAAAACACGGCCAAATAATAACCTAGTCTCCAAGTTCAGTACGTTGCTATTGGAGAGCGCCACAGTATTAACGACTGTAACAGTTACGTGTAGAGGGTGTGAGGGAGGTTTCTCGAAAAAAGGCTTTACGACTTCAGTAAGGAAAGAGTAAAATATTAATAAATGAACACTTATTAAAGTGACTACAATACACAAAAATTAGGAGGAAAAATCGTTCTTTTGAAACAAGGATTATGAAACTGAGTTTTAATTATTATACGAGTACTTTTACTTTCCTCTCTTCCGGTTAAAGGCCCACATGTTAATTTGTTCCCCACATGTTAATCAAATATTCACGTTATTAAAAGTAAAAGTAAGTTGTCTACTAATCACGGGTAAATTTCGCATAAACTTCGTTGTATTACATTTCCACCACATGTTCATGGCGACAAGTGATCAGTTTGACCCCTCTACACCCCCTAGAAGTTTAATTTATTCTGAGACTTTCTGTATAGCTGACTTAGTTTCGAATCAATTCTTCAATCAAGGTGTAATAAGGTGAGGTGTATTTTGAATGCATGTATAACGTTGTTACTAATTAAAATAATTGTGGCGTTTAATGATCACAGCTGTTTCTAAAGAAACCTAAAACAATTGTGGATGTTGTATTTTCTATTGCAAAGATTGGAATAATACATTTTAAAGTATGTAAAAAGACATGCTCGAGGCTTTTCCCATTCTTTGGTTCTCGTTTTAAAAATTAAATTCGGAAATATTCTTAGAATAGAACACGGTCGCCCATTATCAATTATTTGTTTCTTCTCTTCATACAAAACGGAATGAATGCAATTATTGCGCACGCGCGTGCGTGCGTGCGCGATATAATATTATAATATACATATCTTATAATAGTATATTTATACTACTATATATACTAACTATACTATATATATTGTAACGCGTACAATCTCCTGCGGTTGGAAAATGTACAGAAAAAAAGAAAAAAATAGCCAGACGCCGCGACGCAGCTGCTGAGGAAGGGGTCGTAGGGCATTCGCCGCCGATCCGCTCTATTGAGGCGAGGATTCTAGAAACGTTTCTATGGCAGGAACACCCCGCCAATATGTCAACGTGTGCTCGCCATTCAAGCACCGCTCATAAAATGAACCCAACGCTGAGCTCAGGTCTCCTCGGGGGGGGGAATTTTACAACTCAACGGTCAGCGGGGCCGCACGTGCGAAGAAAAAAAAAGCCTATAGTTGCTTTTACACAGAAACGACATTCTGCCTGTTTAAGAAAGGTTCCGCGTGTGATTCGTCAGACAACCCCTCCACCTGTCCGGGAAATTCAACCCGCGTTATGGGAGATTACACTATCTTCTTGGAGGAGGAGGTACCGAGGTTGGATGTTATACTAGGCCGCCGCCTCGGTTAAGCACTTGATGGCTGGAGACGCGCCGGAGTAGTCGATTCACTGAGATTGGCTGGAACGTCGCGGAGTGGTCGATAATAGACTTTGATGGTTGAGACGGCCGGACACGTGTTCGATCTCGACTAGATGTGGCTTTGAAACAGGCCACGGGTAAAAAGTCACTCGATGTTTTGACTGTCGGCCATGAGAAACAATTGATTCAATTCGATTCGATAGTTCGGTCGACGATTATTCACTTCGATTGCTAGATCAATCAAGTAGCATTCGAAGCACTATTGCGGAGAGAAGTTGTTTGACTTCCATTCATCGCCGATGATCACCGTGACTGCCTAGAGCTTGGAGACGCCGATTGAAGTTATGAGCCCCGCGTGTAAGCGCGGCGACATCAAACGGCCACGCAGGAGCCCCTGTGTTCACCGCCTCTTCTGGAAGGGGCGGCGCCGAACACCGAGACGACGCGCGACATTCACACGGAACGTGCAAAGAGGCCCGCCAACAGAAACGAGGGTAAATAATCCGCTTGGCTCCCGCATAAATGCGGTTGAAAATTTACTGAGCGAAGCGAGAACATTTAAAACAAGAAATTTAAAAAAAATTGGAGCTGTTTTAGAGAACATTTTGAAAATGTCCCAGGGGCTGCATGTAAAGTAACCCAAAATCATAAATAATGTTTTTCAAAATTTCAAAGCTTTAACTAGAACCAGATGAACACGGGTTTCTTCAATTTGGAAAACCTCCTACACATGGTTTAGGCGCTAGTAGTGTACACAGACGGACTGACTGACGTTTTGCCGTCACTTGATTTTTCGGAATCAAGGACACACAAAACAGGAATTCTGGCGTGATTTCCACGTGATAAAGGATTTTTTTCTTAATTTAGCAACTGCTTTTAATCACGTTTTCGGTATCAGGGCCCGGCAAAGAAATTTTCTGAGAGACAATAATAATAAGAGAAAATAAAAATTAAAAGCATTTTAACGTTATAATTTTAAATTATACTAGCAAACTACTACTTAGCGTTGCCCGGGTTTTACTTTCCCGTACACATACGTATATACGGAGTAATATACGTAATATAGGGTAAGTTATGTAATGGTGCGCGAAAAACCGGTAGATTTTCGGCAGAAAAAATCATTGTTGGGCATTGATAACAAAAAAGTGGATAAAGGTGCTACATTAGGAGAAAAAAAACTAACTCGTGGTGTAGCCAAAATCCCTGGTTTGTGGGTCTTTGATAATGAAAAATCAATTGACGGCAAAACGTCCATCTGTGAACACTACTTGTTCCTAACCATGCGTAATATTTTTTCCAAATTCAAGAAACCTCTGTCCATCTGACTCGAGTCGAAGCTCTGAGATTTTGAAAAACATTCTTTAAAATTTGGGAGTACTTTACATGAAGCCTTCCGAACATTATCAAAATTTTCTCGAAAACGTCACCAATTTTTTTCTTTAAATCTCTTGTAAGAATAGAGTAACACACACTCATGAAAGGGGCATACGCCCAATTTTCACGATTAAGTCTGGATTTTCGAAAGTGGTAAAAGTATGAATTTTTTCGGTTACTACTACAACTAAACATTTGAAGATTTTTTCAAATTAAATTTGTTGTCCATAATTAGTTCTTTTATTAAGGTCTTGTATATTTTTTGAAACTTTGAGTAGTATTCGCGTAATATTACGTGCCCTATTTCATATTTTAAAAAAAATTACAAAAGCAATATTTTCTCAATAACGGCTCCAAATTTTCTTTAATTTTTTGGTATGGATAGTGCTAAATGTACTGTATGAGATGAACGCCATATTGATCTATTCCTTTGTTTTTTTTTCAAAAATTACAAAAATGACTTTTTTGACGTGTCTCTCATGTCGTTAAGATTTATATTAGTGGCGATTTGTTCACACTATTATATTTATGAGCACATATGTTTTAAATAATGTTATATAGTTCCTCCAAAACTCAACCATTTTCTGTGAAAACTAGCACACAATTTCGCATTTCCAGTAACACTCAAAGGCAACTTTGACAGCAAAACTTTGTCTTCAAACATTTCGAACGGATAGTGCTAATTGAACTATTTAATATGACGTAAAGTTCATTTTGGGGTATTTTTTGTTTTTATAAAATTATACAAATGTAATTTTTTGGATGGTCTCTCACGCAGTTAATATGCACATTTCCACCAATTTGTAAAGACTGTTGTATTTGTGAGTTAATGTGTGTTAAATGACTTCTAATAAAGTTTTCCAAAAACTCAAAAGTTGTGAGAAAAAGTAAGTTTGAGTAAAAGTAAGAAAAGTTATGTGAACAAGTGCTTCAAATTTCGAATTTACAGTAGCGCTTAAACGTAATTTTCATTTCAAAAATTAAAATTTTTTAAAAGAAAATTGCCATTTAGGACAAGGTTTTACTGTTCTTTAATATTTTTAAAATAATATTTCAGTTCTTCTATTAGGAAACCGAAAATTGGGAAAATAAAGAACGTTTACTTTGGGCAGCGATAGATGGCAGCTGGGAAGAGTATGTGGCTAGTCCGAATAGCTTGCCGAGACCAAAAGAAATAAAAAACTAATACGGGAAAGTTCTGTAGCACCACTAGTTTTATTTTCAATCCTTGTGTCCGTCTCTCTCTCTCCGACACCCTCTCACCGACTCCCTCTCTCCAACTCCCTCTCTATCTCCGATTCCCTCTCCGACTCTATCTCCGATTCCCTCTCCGATTCTATCTCCGATTCCCTCTCCGACTCCATCCCCGATACTCTTCGTCTCTCACCATGTTTCTCCGTCTCTCCCTCCGACTCTCTCTCTCCGACTCCCTCCCTCCGTCTCTCTTCGTCTCTTCCTCTTCGCCTCTTTCTCTCCGTCTCTGACCCTGTCTCTGTCTGATTGTGTCCTTGTCTGTCTCTATCTCTCTGTCTCTGTCTGCCTCTCTCTGTCTCTGCCCCTCTCCCCGTCTCTCTGACCTTGTCCCTCTCTGTGTTTTTGTCTATCCCTTGCCTCTCTCTGCATGTCTGTAACTTGACTCTGTCTATATCTCTCTCTGTTGTATGTGTCTATTTCTCTCTCTTTGCGTCTCTGATTCTCTCTCTCTTTGCGACTCTGATTCTCTCCCTCTGCGTCTCTATCTCTTTCTCTCTATGCGACTCTGCTTTTCCCTATGTTTCTGTGCGTCTGTCCCGCTTCCTTCGGTCCGCCTGTCTCTAGCTGACTCTCTCTCTCTGTGTTTCTGTCTCTCTCTCTCTGTGTTTCTGTCTCTCTCTCTGTGTTTGTCTCTCTCTCTCTCTGTTTCGCTCTCTCTCTGTGTTTCTGTCTCTCTCTGTGTTTCTCTCTCTCTCTCTCTCTGTTTGTGACACTCTGTGACACTCTCTGTCCCTGGCTGTCTCTCACTCTCTCTGTCTACTTACAGAGGCCTCT